CTAGACTAGTCCAACACACCCTCCCTAGACCAGTCCAACACACCCTCCCTAGATCAACACACCCTCCCTAGATCAACACACCCTCCCTAGATCAACACACCCTCCCTAGACCAGTCCAACACACCCTCCCTAGACCAGTCCAACACACCCTCCCTAGATCAACACACCCTCCCTAGACCAGTCCAACACATCCTCCCTAGACGAGTCCAACACACCCTCCCTAGACCAGTCCAACACACCCCCCCTAGACCAGTCCAACACAACCTCCCTAGATCAACACACCCTCCCTAGACCAGTCCAACACAACCTCCCTAGATCAACACACCCTCCCTAGACCAGTCCAACACAACCTCCCTAGACCAGTCCAACACAACCTCCCTACACCAGTCCAACACACCCTCCCTAGATCAACACACCCTCCCTAGACCAGTCCAACACACCCTCCCTAGACCAGTCCAACACACCCTCCATACACCAGTCCAACACACCCTCCCTAGACCAGTCCAACACACCCTCCCTAGACCAGTCCAACACACCCTCCCTAGATCAACACACCCTCCCTAGATCAACACACCCTCCCTAGACCAGTCCAACACATCCTCCCTAGACCAGTCCAACACACCCTCCCTAGACCAGTCCAACACACCCTCCCCCTAGACCAGTCCAACACACCCTCCCTAGACCAGTCCAACACACCCTCCCTAGACCAGTCCAACACACCCTCCCTAGACCAGTCCAACACACCCTCCCTAGATCAGTCCAACACACCCTCCCTAGATCAACACACCCTCCCTAGACCAGTCCAACACACCCTCCCTAGACCAGTCCAACACATCCTCCCTAGATCAACACACCCTCCCTAGACCAGTCCAACACAACCTCCCTACACCAGTCCAACACACCCTCCCTAGATCAACACACCCTCCCTAGACCAGTCCAACACATCCTCCCTAGACCAGTCCAACACACCCTCCCTAGATCAACACACCCTCCCTAGATCAACACACCCTCCCTAGACCAGTCCAACACACCCTCCCTAGACCAGTCCAACACACCCTCCCTAGATCAACACACCCTCCCTAGACCAGTCCAACACACCCTCTCTAGACCAGTCCAACACACCCTCCCTAGATCAACACACCCTCCCTAGACCAGTCCAACACATCCTCCCTAGACCAGTCCAACACACCTACCCTAGATCAACACACCCTCCCTAGATCAACACATTTTCCCTAGACCAGACCAACACACCCTCCCTAGACCAGACCAACACACCCTCCCTAGACCAGTCCAACACACCCTCCCTAGATCAACACACCCTCCCTAGATCAACACACCCTCCCTAGACCAGTCCAACACACCCTCCCTAGATCAACACACCCTCCCTAGACCAGTCCAACACACCTACCCTAGATCAACACACCCTCCCTAGACCAGACCAACACAACCTCCCTAGACCAGTCCAACACACCCTCCCTAGACCAGTCCAACACACCCTCCCTAGACCAGTCCAACACACCCTCTCTAGATCAACACACCCTCCCTAGATCAACACAACCTCCCTACACCAGTCCAACACCCTCCCAACTCGTGAGTTGAAGACTAGTAGTGTGAAAAAAACATTGATTTCACTCGAAATATTTACATTTTGTTTTTATATACTAGGATGTGGGCTGGGGGTGGTGGTGGGTGGGGGAGGGTGTGTGTTTGGGGGGGGGGTCATGACTTGATCTGATGCAAATTTGATTTTGTTAGTTCCAGCACTAGTGTAGCTAAGCTAATGCTCCTCGGGTCAAAGGTTAACAGACAGGGAGGGGGGGGGGGCACACGAGAACTACAGCCATAAGATTTGATGAGGGGGGGGGGGGAAGTGGTGGACTCAACAAATAGTCGAACAATTCTGGTTTTATTCATGTCTGACCATTTTCTTTTAGAGGATAAAATTTGGGGGGAGAAGGGGAGGTGTTCCCTGGGGTAGGAATGGAGGAATGGAGGTGTGGAGGTGGAGGTGGAGGAGTGGAGGTGGAGGTGGATTACACCAGAGCAAAAAGAGAAGTACAAGCTGACTCCCCCCCCCCCCCCCCCCCCGCGTGCCAGTGACAGTGTTAGACGGCCCAAATATTATTTCCCATTGGCGAGGGGGTAACGCTTAACTGTTTGTGACAGGCATTGATTTTTTTCTTTGCTGGCACGCCCTCACCCGTGTACCCATAATTCCTTGCTGGCTTGTGTCCCCCACCCTCACTGGCTTCCTCCCCCACCCCCCGGTTTTCCTTAAGGACACGAGAGAAGAGTGGTGTTAGGTGGCCGACAGTGGTGAGTGTGTGGGGAGCTGGGGTAGCTCGTTTTACTTACAGTACAATGGGATATACATACTCTCACACACACACACACACACACATATATATATATATATATATATATATATATATATATATATATATATATATATATATATATATATATATATATATATATATCTATGTGTGTGTGTGTGTGTGTGTGTGTGTGAAAACCAAACTTGATCAAACACTATTCAATTGGTCACAGAAATTTCGACACATAACACAGCCTACATTTGACGATTTCTTGCGTCTACAAGACATCTGTCCTCATTAAAGTTTGATTAGACAGACGTATCATTCGCGTCCCCACCCCCACCCCATCCCCTCCACGAACATCCGGGTCAATTAAAAAATTCACGAGTTAGACTTTGCCCGCCTAGCACCGAAACAAAATACTTTTTTAAATGTATTTACAAGGTACACAGATACACAGGGCATACATATATAGAAGGCATACATATATAGAAGGCATACAGATATAGAAGGCAGACAGATATAGAAGGCAGACAGATATAGAAGGCAGGCAGATATAGAAGGCAGACATATATAGAAGGCAGACAGATATAGAAGGCAGACAGATATAGAAGGCATACAGATATAGAAGGCAGACAGATATAGATGGCAGACAGATATAGAAGGCAGACAGATATAGAAGGCAGGCAGATATAGAAGGCAGGCAGATATAGAAGGCAGGCAGATACACAAGGCAGACAGATATAGAAGTCAGACAGATATAGATGGCAGACAGATATAGAAGGCAGACAGATATAGAAGGCAGACAGATATAGAAGGCATACAGATATAGAAGGCAGGCAGATATAGAAGGCAGACAGATATAGAAGGCAGACAGATATAGAAGGCAGGCACAGTGGCGTAGCGAGGTCGGGTGTCACCAGGTGCGGCACTTAATGGTGTCACCCCCCCCAGAGGCATAGAGACCCTTCCCAGGGACAAAGTTTCAAATTTTCGATTTGCAACCCCCCCCCCTCAAACTTTCGATTTGCACCCCCCCCCCTCAAGTTTTCGATTTGCACCCCTACCCCCCTCAAACTTTCGATTTGCACCCCCCCCTCGAGTTTTTCTCTATATATTTTGCTATTTTTTGCCTTGGTGTCACCCCCCTAAATGGTGTCACCCGGTGCGGTCCGCACCCCCACCCCCCCTCCCCTCGCTACGCCCCTGGGGCAGGCATATACACAGGGTACGGAGATCAAATCCATGTAAATGGTGAACTAAAACGTCACTTGATAAACACAGTCACGTGATAAGTTTTTTTATGTTCACATGACTGACACACAGACAAGTCTTGGATAATAAATATATTTATTGGTCGTTTATATCACAACAATATCTCAAATACATATACTGGTTTTTACATTTTGCTGAGGGAAGTAGTTACAAAAAATAATTTTTATATTAAAGTAAAACATGTTTCATACTGAATTCGCTTGACATATGAATATCAATTACGGCAAGAAATGTTAGTTAAATTATTCATTGCATAACAGTTGTGTGGATTGTCATGTAGGTTGTGCATGGATGTTGATATGTAGGTTGATACGAAGTTTGATATGGGGGTTGATATGGAATTTGATATGTAGGTTGATATGTAGGTTGATACGAAGTTTGAAATGGAATATGGGAGTTGATATGTAGGTTGATATGAATGACATGAATGTTGAATGACATGAATGTTGAATGACATGACAGGTTATACACGTGGATATTTAAAAGAATGAAAACAATGAGTTACAGTGTACAGCCCAACATATACACATTTAAACATCATTTAGATTACATACATGTCCCAGCAAGTAGAAATTTTAAACATCATGACATCATGATGTCATGACATCATGACATCATGATAAGGGCAATTATAAAATGTTGAGTTTGTTGTTTTCCAATCATGTTTGAAGGAGATCGAATGTTACTGAGGTGTCGCTTTCAGATCATCGAACAGTTAGCTGATGCACTCAATACTGACAGTGGTTTTTGATGGTGACATCTCATGTTTTTCCTGGTGCACTAAAGCTGACATTCTCTAGTGCACTAACATTTAAGCTGACATTCTCTGGTGCACTGACATTAAAGCTGACATTCTCTAGTGCACTAACATTAAAGCTGACATTCCCTAGTGCACGAACATTTAAGCTGACCTTTCACAGATAAATCAAGTGGGTACTTCAAATATAAAATCCCGTTATAATATTTGGAATGCTATTTATAAATGTTAGTAAACAAACTGTTAGGCTTTAACCCACTTCATTTCACAATCATTCAACTTGTGAACCACTTAATACAGCCATCATTCAACTTGTGAACCACTTCATTTCACCGACATTCAACTTGTGAACCACTTCATTTCACCATCATTCAAATTGTAAACCACTTAATGCAGCCATCATTCAACTTGTGAACCACTTCATTTCACCATCATTCAACTTGTGAGCAACAAATGAACGCTACTGTGGAGGTAAGCAACACACATAGTCGATGTATATAGGGCTATTTTTAGATGACCCGGCGTGCACTTAAGACACAAGATTCTGTCACACTGTCGTCACAAGATTTCGTCACACTGTCGTCACAAGATTTCGTCACACTGTCGTCACAAGATTTCGTCACACTGTCGTCACAAGATTTCGTCACACTGTCGTCACAAGATTTCGTCACACTGTCGTCACAAGATTTCGTCACACTGTCGTCACAAGATTTCATCACGGTGTCTGCATTTATGCTGGTCTAGTTCCTGCGACAGTTCGTGCGGAATGGCCGTGTCCAATGAAGCGTAGCGGCACTGCGGATAGCAGAAAAATTGTGAGAATAGCAACCCCCTCATACTCTACAGCTGATGAACTAAGTAAGAATTGTGAGAATAGCAAGCCCCACCCCCTCTCATACTCTACGGCTGAGTGATGAACTAAGTAAGAATTGTGAGAATAGCAAGCCCCACCCCCTCCCATACTCTACGGCTGATGAACTAAGTAAGAATTGTGAGAATAGCAAATCCCACCCCCTCCCATACTCTACGGCTGATAAACTAAGTAAGAGTTGTCAGAATAGCAAGCCCCCCCCCTCATACTCTACTGCTGATGAACTAAGTAAGAGTTGTCAGAATAGCAAGCCCCCCCCCCCCTCATACTCTACAGCTGATGAACTAAGTAAGAATTGTGAGAATAGCAAGCCCCCCCCCCCCTTATACTCTACAGCTGATGAACTAAGTAAGAATTGTGAGAATAGCAAGCCCCCCCCCCTTCATACTCTACAGCTGATGGACTGGAAATCAGTCGCTACTCACATCGCCATTTTCGTCAGACATTCGTCGGTGACGTGGACGATGGTAGTGACGCTGTGTCAGATCATCGATGTCAAGATGGCTGGCGGAAGTCTTGAGTACCACCTAGAGACGATTCAAGTTTTACATGTCAGTACCACCTGCAGACGATTCAAGTTTTGGTTCCCAGAAAGAAGCGCAACGGAAAAAAACGCAACGGAAAAAAGCGCAAAACAAACAGCGCAACGGAAAAAAGCGCACACGTAAAAAAGCTTTTTTCCGTTTGCGCTTTTTTCAGTTTGCGCTTTTTTCTGTGTGCGCTTTTTTCTGTTTGCGCCTTTTTCCGTTTGTGCTTTTTTCTGTTTGCGCTTTTTTCCGTTTGCGCTTTTTTCTGTTTGCGCTTTTTTCTGTGTGCGCTTTTTTCTGTTTGTGCTTTTTCTGTTTGCGCTTTTTCATGACATGTTATATTTAGATGACATGAAGATGTCACATGTCAGATGTAAATGACATGAAGATGGCAAATGTCAGATATAGATGACATGAAGATGACACATGTTAGATATAGATGACAGGAAGACACATGTCAGATATAGATGACATAAAGATGTCACACGACAAATACAGTTGACATGAAGATGTCACATGTCAGGTATAGATGCCATGAAGATGAAACATGCCAGATATAGATGACATGAAGATGAAACATGTCAGATGTAGATGACATAAAGATGTCACACGACAAATACAGTTGACATGAAGATGTCACATGTCAGGTATAGATGCCATGAAGATGAAACATGCCAGATATAGATGACATGAAGATGAAACATGCCAGATATAGATGACATGAAGATGAAACATGCCAGATATAGAAGACATGAAGATGTCACATATTAGATACAGGTGACATCTCATTACCACATTACAGTTGACAGGAAGATGTCAGATGTAGATGACATTAAGATGACACATGTCAGATGTAGATGACATGAATATGTCACATGTCAGCAATAAGCGATTGCACCCTTTGATCACCAGACACTGTGTTGAGATCGAGAGAGAGAGAGAGAGAGAGAGAGAGAGGGGGAGAGAGAGAGAGAGAATGATTGTATCAGATTCATGGCGTTCTGCGCTTGATTAAGCAGGGTCATTAAATGGTTTACTGTAATTAAAAAGCGGCCCCCGTGGCGAAAGTTGAATACATAATTAATTAAACATTAATGAAACTTTAATATCACCTGATAATGGCAGATTTGATGCTGGGGATTAATTACAGTTTTAATTAAATGAGTATTTAATTGATTTTTCATGGAGCTTCTCATCTATGACTCGATGTGTCATTAGCTAATACTCGTAGTGTTAAGCTCCCAACGTTAGCTCAAATTTGAACTGTTTAGCTCTCAACGTAAGCTCAAATTTGAACTGTTTAGCTCTCAACGTTAACTCAGACCTTGAACTGATAAGCTCAAACAGCTACATCAGCTTAGAGTTAAACTCAAATACCTACATCAGCTCCACAAACTACTTCAACTTTGTGGGATTAATAAAACCAATGTTGACTCGAACTAAATTTTGTGGAATTAATAAAACCAATGTTGACTTGAAATCAACTTTCTGGGATTAATAAAACCAATGTTGACTTGAACTAAACTTTGTGGGATTAATAAAAGCAATGTTGACTTGAACTCAACTTTGTGGGATTAATAAAACCAATGTTGACTTGAACTAAACTTTGTGGGATTAATAAAACCAATGTTGACTTGAACTCAACTTTGTGGGATTAATAAAACCAATGTTGACTCGAACTAAATTTTGTGGGATTAATAAAACCAATGTTGACTTGAACTAAATTTTGTGGGAATAATAAAACCAATGTTGACTTGAACTAAATTTTCTGGGATTAATAAAACCAATGTTGACTTGAACTAAACTTTGTGGGATTAATAAAACCAATGTTGACTTGAACTAAATTTTGTGGGATTAATAAAATCAATGTTGACTTGAACTAAATTTTGTGGGATTAATAAAACCAATGTTGACTTGAACTAAATTTTCTGGGATTAATAAAACCAACGTTGACTTGAACTAAACTTTGTGGGATTAATAAAACCAATGTTGACTTGAACTAAATTTTCTGGGATTAATAAAACCAATGTTGACTTGAACTAAACTTTGTGGGATTAATAAAACCAATGTTGACGAACCGAAAATGGTCTACATATCCCTGGACTTAGTCCTCTACCCATGGACTTAGTCCTCTACCCATGGACTTTGTTAGTCCTCTACCCATGGACTTTGTTAGTCCTCTACCCATGGACTTTGTTAGTCCTCTACCCATGTACTTTGTTAGTCCTCTATCCATGGACTTTGTTAGTCCTCTACCCATGTACTTTGTTAGTCCTCTATCCATGGACTTTGTTAGTCCTCTACCCATGGACTTTGTTAGTCCTCTACCCATGGACTTTGTTAGTCCTCTACCCATGCTACTTACTTTGATATTTTTCTTCCTCCTGAGCCTCTGTTTGATGAGAAAGTCGAAGAATGCGGTCAGCATGGCGAGAACGAGGCCACCAATCAGGATGTGGAAGATACCGGAAACGTTGCTCAGAGAGAGGGCGCTGGTGGTACTCTCCTACAGAGAAGTTTCAAAAGTCATTCTGGCAGTTAGATGGGGGGGGGGGGATGGGGGGGGGGGGGAAGGGGGGTACTCTCCTACATAGAAATTTCAAAAGTTAGTTGTCAGTTAGATGGGGGGGGGGGGCGGGGGGTACTTTCCTACAGAGAAGTTTCAAAAGTCATTCTGTCAGATGCAGTGTTTCTTTCAGACTTTTTTCTACGGGCGGGGGGGGGGGCACTTGCAGTTTTCGGGGGGGGGGGGGGGCGGCGGCGGACACTGTTAATAGTATATATTTTCCAAATAAATTCCATTTCGTTCGGGGAAAGGGAGGGGGGGGGGGGGGCAAAGCCCCTCCGAAGAGATGCCTGAAAGAAACTCTGGTAAGATGTCATGTGTGTGTCATTCAAATGTCATGCTTATGGCATTAAAATGCCATCTCACGTCATCCTAAAGTCGATCGAATGCCATTTGAATTTAATCTAGCCTCTATGTCATCAAATGCCATGTGAATTTAGTCTAGCCACTATGTCATCAAATGCCATGTGAATTTAGTCTAGCAACTATGTCATCAAATGCCATGTGAATTTAGTCTAGCAACTATGTCATCAAATGCCATGTGAATTTAGTCTAGCCACTATGTCAACAAATGCCATGTGAATTTAGTCTAGCCACTATGTCATCAAATGCCATGTGAATTTAGTCTAGCAACTATGTCATCAAATGCCATGTGAATTTAGTCTAGCCACTATGTCAACAAATGCCATGTGAATTTAGTCTAGCCACTATGTCAACAAATGCCATGTGAATTTAGTCTAGCCACTATGTCATCAAATGCCATGTGAATTTAGTCTAGCCACTATGTCATCAAATGCCATGTGAATTTAGTCTAGCCACTATGTCATCAAATGCCATGTGAATTTAGTCTAGCCACTATGTCAACAAATACCATGTGAATTTAGTCTAGCCACTATGTCAACAAATGCCATGTGAATTTAGTCTAGCCACTATGTCAACAAATGCCATGTGAATTTAGTCTAGCCACTATGTCATCAAATGCCATGTGAATTTAGTCTAGCCACTATGTCAACAAATGCCATGTGAATTTAGTCTAGCCACTATGTCATCAAATGCCATTTGAATTTAGTCTAGCCACTATGTCATCAAATGCCATGTGAATTTAATCTAGCCACTATGTCAACAAATGCCATGTGAATTTAGTCTAGCCACTATGTCAACAAATGTCATGTGAATTTAGTCTAGCCACTATGTCAACAAATGCCATGTGAATTTAGTCTAGCCACTATGTCATCAAATGCCATGTGAATTTAATCTAGCCACTATGTCAACAAATGCCATGTCCGTGTGATGACAATTCTCTATGTTGAGGCTGATCTGGTTTCTTTAGGAAATCTTGAGACGCTTTAGAAAACAAGGGGAATGAACCCAAGAAAAGTAAACAACGGAGAGATTAATGCCCCTGTCTCCTCAATATTGTTTGGAAATCTAGAATAAATAATAAAATTGATTGATTTTAAAAGCGACGTGAAAGGTACGTGAGAGTTTGTAAAAGTGTGTGAGTGTGTATGTGTGTGTGTGTGTGTGTGTATACACTGACTTTGATACTGACACAAACTTTGGATTCTGATTTACAAGTAAAGAAATCGTCAAACATAAACATGTAGGATAATCAAAAACTGAAACAAGCTGTTGAAAAGTTGAATATTTGCTGTTGAAAAGTTGAATATTTGCTGTTGAAAAGTTGAATATTTGCTGTTGAAAATGACGAATAAAAATAAAGCGGGAGTGATCTCCCCTAAACTTTCTCGAATATTTTTACTGGGATGGCAACTCGGGAAATAGACATGATTTTTAATCAATTTTTAATTACTTAAACTTTTTAAAATAGAAAAATAAATTGTGAACCACGTGAATAGCAAACAATATGTGTATAATAGTGCGGAATATTATTAGTACTGTATAAATTCATTTTTGTTTTTTGTGAAATCGGAATTAGCGTAAACTACTACTTTAGGTCAACGAAAATTACTGAAAATTTGAAAGAAGGCGGAAAATTAGATCTTATACATATATGTGAAATTTCCATTTATCTATCTGAAACAGTACTCAATTTATAGGCTTTTGAAAAATTGAAAGTAGAATAAGTTCCACTTCCGGTTACCGGCAATTGCTGAAAACTACAGAACTACAAATGTGATATAATACTTATATATGACAATTTAATCAACCTAGCTGTAACGGTACTCAAGTTATCGTGTTCACATACACAAATGCACACACACACATACATACAAACATAACAAAATAAACCGGGAGTGATCTCCCCTAAACTTTCTCGGATATTCTAATATAAAACTACGAGGGATGGCAACTCAGGACATAGACAATATTTGTAATCCATTTTTAATTACCTAAACTTTTTATAATAGAATGGAATCTCGTAAAAAAAAAAGAATTGCACACTAAGTGAACGCCTAATAAAATGTGCATAATAGTGCGGGATATTATTAGTACTTTATAAATTTACGTGAGTTTTTTTGAGAAATCGGAAATAGCGTAAATTAGTACTTCCGTTCAAAATTAGACAGAAGGTAGAGAAATAGATCTTTTACTTACATGTGAAATTTCATTTATCTATCTGAAATAGTACTCAAGTTATAGGCTTTTGAAAAATTCAAAGTAAAAAAAGTACCACTTCCGGTTATCAGAAATCGCTCAAAAGTTGAAACATATCTACGATTTTGATAAAATACTTATATATGAAATTTCATCAACCTAGCTGTAACGGTACTCAAGTTATCGTGTTTACACACAGACAGACACACACGCACACACACACACACACAGACATAAGGACAAGATTGCAAAATTATGTTTTTCCGTGTCAGTGAGGTGTAAAACGTCGAGATTTGTAAAAATCTCGATTTTTATTTGCACGATTACAATACTTCCTATATACTTCGTATACGAGAAAATAAAAATGAAAACATCTGAAATAAACACTTGTTCAAAAACATGGCAGGAATGACGGACGTGTTTCCTACTGGCAGCGATTGTCGTACCCATCTTGCCGGTGACCCGTGTCGTACCCACCTTGCCGGCTTGTGACCCGTGTCGTACCCACCTTGCCGGTGACCCGTGTCGTACCCACCTTGCCGGCCTGTGACCAGTGTCATACCCACCTTGCCGGACTCTGCCGCACACTGACCCTTGTCGTACCCACCTTGCCGGTGACCCGTGTCGTACCCACCTTGCCGGACTCTGCCGCACACTGACCCTTGTCGTACCCACCTTGCCGGACTCTGCCGCACACTGCCCCTTGTCGTACCACCACTTCTGGTAGAGCTTGAGGAGTTCACCAATCTCGTTCAGTTGGAGGACCACGATGTTGATGTCCGCCCTGTGGACACAGGTGAGACATACAGGTGAGACATGTACAGGTGAGACAGGTAGAGGTGAGACATATACAGGTGATACATATAAAGGTGATACATGTATAGGTGAGACATGTATAGGTGAGACATGTATAGGTGAGACAGGTAAAGGTGAGACATACAGGTGAGACATGTACAGGTGAGACCTGTACAAGCATGACGATTTTTTTCTATGTCTTGATGTACCAATTTTTCTATATGTTTATGTGTCTATGATTGTTATATAGTATGTATGTGGTCCACATATGTGTGGTTTTATGGCTATATAATGTCTATATAACTTTTCTAGTGGTATGTATGTGTTCTTTACGTGTGTCTGTGTCTATGTGTCTGTATGTGTCTAGATGTGTTTTATGTGTGTGGTATGGCGACGATCTTGATACAAGCAAGCAGATAAACACCGAACCTGAGGTCTGATCCCCTGGGGGTCGCGATCCCGTATCCCTTGACGTCTAGGTCCCTGCCTACCTTCATGGTGTTGCAGGGCTTGCGCTGGTTGTGGTATTCGTTGAAGGTCGAGTCCAGCAGGAAGGCGTACTTGCCCTGGGGTCACGTGACATCGATTACGTCATTGTCACGTGTGTTTTTATCACGTCATAGTAACTGGACATTCGTTACGTCACATACATGAAATAGTCATGGTGGAACTAGCGTGACTGTCCACTACTGACCTTTGACTCCCTGACCCGGCTGACCCCACCTAGCGTGGTGTTGACAAAGACCGAGGGCTCGGCGTCTCGCATGAAGCTCCACATCTTGTTGTACACGGTCACGTTGGAAACCTGCAACATGGGGGGATGGGGGGGGGGGGGGGGGGGGTTAGTGAACTCTAACATGTGGGGGGGTGGGGGGTGGGGCGGAGTTAAATGACCTGCAACATAGAGTTCGGGGTGGGGGGGGGGGGGGGGTTAGCGGCCTTCAACATTGGAGGGTCGGACTTTTAAGGGGCGTTTAAAAGAAACGTCGCCGACTCGACGAATTAACAAATGACGCGCTGAGAAAAGATTAGCGTCGAATTGTATAGAAGATCAGCGCCATCTTGATTGAGGAGATTAGCGACATCTGATTGAGATTACCTTGAAAAACTCCTCCGTCGATCCGTTGGCGATGATCCCGTACCTGATCTCCGTCTGCCTGGCCAGGTCGTCGGCCGAGTTGATGGGGATCTCCATCCTCTCGATGGTCAGGAAAGCTGCCAGGTTGGCCGTGTAGGAGGAGATGATGATGAGGGTAAAGAACCACCAGGCCGACCCAACGATCCGCCCTGATATTGACCTGCAACACATACACACCTATACATGTCAGCAGATATGTATATATATATATATATATATATATATATATATATATATATATATATATATATATATATATATATATATATATATATATATATATATATATATATATATATATATATATATAAATGTCTGACGTCACACTAACCTGGGGTAGATGTCTGACGTCACACTAACCTGGGGTAGATGTCTGACGTCACACTAACCTGGGGTAGATGTCTGACGTCACACTAACCTGGGGTAGATGTCTGACCCTTGCTGCATCAACGCGCCGAGACTGAACCAGAGAGTGTTGACCAAGTTGAAGGCCGGCTTGTTGCTGAGCTCCCCGCCCCTAGCATGCTGTGAGGGGTCCCACTCGTACGGGCTGAACCTCCCAACAAAGAACAACACCAGGCTGACCCCGACAAAACCGCAGATAATGGACACCCAAACACCGTCAGAAAGTGGATTCTGGAAAATATATTCGATGATTAGAATAGGGACAGACATGGAGTTGACATTGGATGGTCAGAATGGACAGTTGTTGGATAGTTACCATGGAGACAGACAGTTGACACTGGATGGTTACCATGGAGACAGAGAGTTGACACTGGATGTTTACCATGGATACAGTTAACATTGGATGGTTACCATGGAGACAGACGGTTGACACTGGATGGTTACCATGGAGACAGCAGTTGATTACCTTGAAAGAAAAGACGCCGCCCTTTTCCTTGTCCGGTTTTTTGATCATGATAGAGGTGCCGAGGTTCATGAACGGCTTGGAAAAGTCAACAAACCTCTCGCGGACCTCTGTGATGGTCAGTGCGGCTATAGCGATGTCCGCTTTCTGGGGAGAGGTGGCAGGGTAGGTAGCTTAGTTTTGGGGTGGGGCTGGGGGGAACTAAGAACCGTTGCTTGTGATTTTAGCGAAAATACAAAATGTGACTACCCAGGGCCGAAACTGACCCCGTCCTCCCTTGTCTCACATTTGACCCCCCACCCAACACAACCAAGAACTGACCCCCCACCCTGTCTCACATTTGCCCCCCCCCCCCACCCAAGACAGCCAAGAACTGACCCCCCCAACAGAACCAAGAACTGCCCCCCCAACCCAATCCAAGAACTGACCCCCCCCACCCAACCCAGCCAAGAACTGACCCCCCAACACAACCATGAACTGACCCCCCCCCCCACCCAACCCAACCAAGAACTGACCCCCCCAACACAACCAAGAACTGACCCCCCCCCCCCAACACAACCAAGAACTGACCCCCCCACACCGCCACCCCCCCCCCCTCCCAACCCAACCAAGAACTGACCCCCCCCCCCCCAACCCAACCAAGAACTGACCCCATTCAGAAGTTCACCAATCATGCCGTTCCAGGAGCCATCTGGTAGCCGAGTGCCGTAGTTCTTGTCCTCCACCAGCTTGAAGGTGTACTCAAAGTTCAGGTGGCGCGAGATTCTCTGAAACACAAAGTCAGGGGTCAGGTCAGCACGTGACCGGAACTTTTTATAGAACACGTCCAACACATGTCATCCAACATATGTCATCCAACAAATGTCATCAAACAAATGTCATCCAACACATGTCATCAAACAAATGTCATCCAACACATGTCATCCAACACATGTCATCCAACACATGTCATCCAACACATGTCATCCAACACATGTCATCCAACACATGTCATCCAACACATGTCATCCAACACATGTCATCCAACACATGTCATCCAACACATGTCATCAAACACATGTCATCCAACACATGTCATCCAGCACATGTCATCCAACACATGTCATCAAACACATGTCATCAAACACATGCCATCAAACACATGTCATCCAACACATGTCATCCAACACATGTCATCAAACACATGTCATCCAACACATGTCATCCAGCACATGTCATCCAACACATGTCATCAAACACATGTCATCAAACACATGCCATCAAACACATGTCATCCAACACATGTCATCCAACACATGTCATCCAACACATGTCATCCAACACATGTCATCCAACACATGTCATCCAACACATGTCATCCAACACATGTCATCAAACACGTGTCATCAAACACATGTCAACAAACACATGTCATACAGCACATGTCATCCAGCACATGTCATCTAACAAATGTCACCTAACACATGTCATCCAACACATGTCATCCAGCACATGTCATCTAACAAATGTCACCCAACACATGTCATCCAACACATGTCATCCTGCACATGTCATCTAACAAATGTCACCCAACACATGTCATCCAACACATGTCATCCAGCACATGTCATCTAACAAATGTCACCCAACACATGTCATCCAACACATGTCATCCAGCACATGTCATCTAACAAATGTCACTGACCTCCAGCAAGTCCACGCAGTAACCCTCGTACTTGACATCTCGGTGACATGGGATGCCACCCCCTGGGCAGGTCTCCATAAAAAATGGGTTTTCCTGGGAAATGGTGACACACATCAACTCACAGCATTAGTGGTGACACGCTGTTCATAAGGTCAATGTTTATACTCATTAATACAGTGGTGACACATCAATACAGTTGTAACACTCACCAGTATAGTGGAGTGGTGACCCACTCACCAGTATAGTCGTGACCCACTCACCAGTATAGTGGTAACCCAGTCACCAGTATAGTGGTGACCCACTCACTAGTATAGTGGTGACACACTCACCAGTATAGTGGTGACACACTCACCAGTATAGTGGTAACCCAGTCACCAGTATAGTGGTGACCCACTCACTAGTATAGTGGTGACACACTTACCAGTATAGTGGTGACACACTCACAAGTATAGTGGTGACACACTCACTAGTATAGTGGTGACACACTCACCAGTATAGTGGTGATCCACTCCCCAGTATAGTGGTGACCCACTCACTAGTATAGTGGTGACACACTCACCAGTATAGTGGTGACACACTCACAAGTATAGTGGTGACACACTCACTAGTATAGTGGTGACACACTCACCAGTATAGTGGTGACACACTCACAAGTATAGTGGTGACACACTCACAAGTATAGTGGTGACACACTCACTAGTATAGTGGTGACACACTCACCAGTATAGTGGTGACCCACTCCCCAGTATAGTGGTGACCCACTCACTAGTATAGTGGTGACACACTCACCAGTATAGTGGTGACACACTCACAAGTATAGTGGTGACCCACTCACTAGTATAGTGGTGACACACTCACCAGTATAGTGGTGACACACTCACAAGTATAATGGTGACACATTCACTAGTATAGTGGTGACACACTCACCAGTATAGTAGTGACCCACTCCCCAGTATAGTGGTGACACACTCACTAGTATAGTGGTGACACACTCACCAGTATAGTGGTGACACACTCACAAGTATAGTGGTGACCCACTCACTAGTATAGTGGTGACACACTCACCAGTATAGTGGTGACACACTCACAAGTATAGTGGTGACACACTCACTAGTATAGTGGTGACATACTCACCAGTATAGTGGTGACCCACTCCCCAGTATAGTGGTGACCCACTCACTAGTATAGTGGTGACACACTCACCAGTATAGTGGTGACACACTCACCAGTATAGTGGTGACACACTCACCAGTATAGTGGTGACCCACTCACCAGTATAGTGGTGACCCACTCACCAGTAAAGTGGTGACCCACTCACCAGTATAGTGGTGACTATCCTAGTCCTGTTGGAGTCCAGGGTGAGCAGTGGCCTTGGCCTTGTCATGTTGGTGAGCACGCCGTCCTTCTGTGCCCACTCCCCCACCTTCCTGAGGGGCGTCCTGTATTGCAGGTGCATGAGGTCCAGTCGTGTGTCCACCCTCAGACCTTTCTTGCTCAGCCTGACAGGTCCAGTGATGCCCTTTACTTGTGTCTGGTGTTAGGTTTAGCTCGAGTTCAACTTTTTGTTAGCTCCAAGTACATTTTTTTTCACCATCTCACCATTATTACCGTAACCTAAGTCCACCATACATTAAGGATAGCGTCATGATCACCCCCAACCTTACAGTATTTGTAGGATAACGTCTCCCCCCCCCCTTACTTTTAGGATAACGTCCCTGATCCTCCCTCCTTATAGCCGGCTGTTTCCCTGACCCCCCCCCCCTTACCTTTAGGATAGCGTCCCTAATCTCACGACCGTACAGCCAGGGTACAGCCGGCTGTTTACCTGACCCCTCCCCCCCCCTTACCTTTAGGATAGCGTCCCTGACCCCCCCCCCCCCTCCTTACCTTTAGGATAGCATCCCTAATCTCACGACCGTACAGCCAGGGTACAGCCGGCTGTTTACCTGACCCCTCCCCCCCCCCTTACCTTTAGGATAGCGTCCCTGACCCCCCCCCCACCTTACCTTTAGGATAGCGTCCCTAATCTCACGACCGTACAGCCAGGGTACAGCCGGCTGTCGCCAGCACTGGGCTCCTCTCGTCCTGTTGTTGTACAGCTCTGTCAGTCTGAAACATGACGTAACGGCTGTTCGGTGACGTAACGGCTGTGCATTTCATAATGCTACAGTGAGCAGATGATGGTGTATTTGTGTGTGCATGTGTGTGTTTATGTTTATGTGTGTGCGTGTTTATTTGTTCATACAGAGGACAATAAACTTCCCCCACCTGAGGCCCCATCTACTGCCCCACCCAAACGACATTGCCGATAAAACAGATCCCCCTATCTTGTCCACCCTGTCATGACCCCCCTCCAAGACAAAGATCCATAGGTGAGAATCTATCTGTTCTACCCTAACAAGTTTGGGACATTCATGTAGCACGGTAAGTCGTTCTGCTTGTCAGTCACCCAGTCAGTCACCCAGTCAACCACTGATTCAGTCGCCTAGTCAGTCACCCAGTCACCAAGTCACCCAGTCATCCAGTCAGTTAACAAGTCATCTAATCATCCAGTCATCCAATCATGCAGTCATCCAGTCATCCAGTCATCCAGTCACCCAGTCACCCAGTCATCCAGTCATCCAGTCATCCAGTCATCCAGTCATGCAGTCATCGAGTCAGTCACCCAGTCACCAAGTCACCCAGTCATCCAGTCATCCAGTCATCCAGTCATGCAGTCATCCAGTCATCCAGTCATGCAGTCATCCAGTCAGTCACCCAGTCACCAAGTCACCCAGTCATCCAGTCAGTCAAAAAGTCATCCAATCATCCAGTCATCCAATCATTCAGTAATCCAGTCATCCAGTCACCCAGTCACCCAGTCATGCAGTCATCCAGTCACCCAGTCATCCAGTCATCCAGTCATCCAGTCATGCAGTTATCCAGTCATCCAGTCACCCAGTCATCCAGTCAGTCACCCAGTCACCCAGTCACCCAGTCATCCAGTCACCCAGTCACCCAGTCATCCAGTCAGTCACCCAGTCACCCAGTCATCCAGTCATCCAGTCAAGCAGTCATCCAGTCACCCAGTCATCCAGTCAGTCACCCAGTCACCCAGTCACCCAGTCATCCAGTCACCAAGTCATCCAGTCATCCAGTCATGCAGTCATCCAGTCATCCAGTCATGCAGTCATCCAGTGAGTCACCCAATCACCAAGTCACCCAGTCATCCAGTCAGTCAACAAGTCATCCAATCATCCAGTCATCCAATCATGCAGTCATCCAGTCATCCAGTCACCCAGTCATCCAGTCATCCAGTCATGCAGTCATCCAGTCACCCAGTCATCCAGTCAGTCACCCAGTCACCCAGTCATCCAGTCAACAAAGTTACCCAGTCACCCAGTCATCCAGTCAGTCACCCAGTCAACTAGTCATCCAGTCATTCAGTCATCCAGTCATGCAGTCATCCAGTCATCCAGTCAGTCACCCAGTCATCCAGTCATCCAGTCATCCAGTCATCCAGTCATCCAGTCATCCAGTCATCCAGTCATCCAGTCATCCAGTCATCCAGTCACCCAGTCACCCAGTCATCCAGTCATCCAGTCATCCAGTCACCCAGTCAGTACCTGCTAGACTGGAGCAGGTCCTTGAGAGCTTGGACCACCAGACGATAACTGTCACCTGCCAGGGCTGCGTCTATCTGAAACCAATCCCAGGCAATCTACAACATCACGTGATGAGGGCAGGCAATCTACAACATCACGTGATGAGGACAGGCAATCTACAACATCACGTGATGGGGGCAGGCAATCTACAACATCACGTGATGGGGACAGGCAATCTACAACATCACGTGATGGGGACAGGCAATCTACAACATCACGTGATGAGGGCAGGGGACAGGCAATCTACAACATCACGTGATGAGGGCAGGGGACAGGCAATCTACAACATCACGTGATGAGGACAGGCAATCTACAACATCACGTGATGAGGGCAGGCAATCTACAACATCACGTGATGAGGACAGGGGACAGGCAATCTACAACATCACGTGATGAGGGCAGGCAATCTACAACATCACGTGATGAGGGCAGGCAATCTACAACATCACGTGATGAGGACAGGGGACAGGCAATCTACAACATCACGTGATGAGGGCAGGCAATCTACAACATCACGTGATGAGGGCAGGCAATCTACAACATCACGTGATGAGGGCAGGCAACCTACAACATCACGTGATGAGGGCAGGCAATCTACAACATCACGTGATGAGGACAGGCAATCTACAACATCACGTGATGAGTACAGGTAATCTACAACATCACGTGATGAGGACAGGTAATCTACAACATCACGTGATGAGGACAGGCAATCTACAACATCACGTGATGAGTACAGGTAATCTACACCATCACGTGATGGGGGCAGGAGACAGGCAATCTACAACATCACGTGATGAGGACAGGCAATCTACAACATCACGTGATGAGGGCAGGTAATCTACAACATCACGTGATGAGGACAGGCAATCTACAACATCACGTGATGAGGACAGGCAATCTACAACATCACGTGATGAGGACAGACAATCTACAACATCACGTGATGAGGACAGGCAATCTACAACATCACGTGATGAGGGCAGGTGGGTCAGAGGTCAGACATTATTTAAACGGGAGAAAAACAAGGTTAGCGTTAAGTTTTGGACAAGATTTGAACATGACAAATACACACGTGACGTACGGAGACTGGCGAGGGCTGTGCCGGATCAATCGGGAGCCGGAAGCCGGTGACGTTGACGCCTCCATACAGGAACGAGTGCAAGTTCAAGGAGTCGATGTACTGAAACAAAGTATGGAGTCGATGTACTGAAACAAAGTATGGAGTCGATGTACTGAAACAAAGCATGGAGTCTACTGAAACAAAGCATGGAGTCTACGTGAAACAAAGCAATGAGTCGATGTACTGAAACAAAGTATGGAGTCGATGTACTGAAACAAAGTATGGAGTCGATGTACTGAAACAAAGTATGGAGTCGATGTACTGAAACAAAGTATGGAGTCGATGTACTGAAACAAAGTATGGAGTCGATGTACTGAAACAAAGTATGGAGTCGATGTACTGAAACAAAGTATGGAGTCGATGTACTGAAACAAAGTATGGAGTCGATGTACTGAAACAAAGTATGGAGTCGATGTACTGAAACAAAGTATGGAGTCGATGTACTGAAACAAAGTATGGAGTCGATGTACTGAAACAAAGTATGGAGTCGATGTACTGAAACAAAGCATGGAGTCGATGTACTGAAACAAAGTATGGAGTCTACTGAAACAAAGTATGGAGTCGATGTACTGAAACAAAGTATGGAGTCTACTGAAACAAAGCATGGAGTCGATGTACTGAAACAAAGTATGGAGTCGATGTACTGAAACAAAGCATGGAGTCGATGTACTGAAACAAAGTATGGAGTCTACTGAAACAAAGCATGGAGTCGATGTACTGAAACAAAGTATGGAGTCGATGTACTGAAACAAAGCATGGAGTCGATGTACTGAAACAAAGCATGGAGTCGATGTACTGAAACAAAGTATGGAGTCAATGTACTGAAACAAAGTATGGAGTCGATGTACTGAAACAAAGTATGGAGTCGATGTACTGAAACAAAGCATGGAGTCGATGTACTGAAACAAAGTATGGAGTCGATGTACTGAAACAAAGTATGGAGTCGATGTACTGAAACAAAGTATGGAGTCGATGTACTGAAACAAAGCATGGAGTCGATGTACTGAAACAAAGCATGGAGTCGATGTACTGAAACAAAGCATGGAGTCGATGTACTGAAACAAAGTATGGAGTCGATGTACTGAAACAAAGCATGGAGTCGATGTACTGAAACAAAGCATGGAGTCGATGTACTGAAATAAAGCATGGAGTCGATGTACTGAAACAAAGTATGGAGTCGATGTACTGAAACAAAGTATGGAGTCGATGTACTGAAACAAAGTATGGAGTCTACTGAAACAAAGTATGGAGTCGATGTACTGAAACAAAGTATGGAGTCGTTGTACTGAAACAAAGTATGGAGTCGATGTACTGAAACAAAGCATGGAGTCGATGTACTGAAACAAAGTATGGAGTCGATGTACTGAAACAAAGTATGGAGTCGATGTACTGAAACAAAGCATGACGTCACCAAACACGTGATCTACATGTTGACATTTTAAATTTCTGCTGACCAATCAACAAATGACATTTTAATTCTAGTCACGCGTTCCCAGCTCTGACGTCATTTGATTGGCGCAGCTGAGGACATGTGACCTGTTCGTCTGAGGGTGTGGTGTGGGTTTGGGGTGGGTGTGGGTGTGGGTGTGGGGTGGGTGGGGGCGGGTAGTGGGGAGTGAATGGGTCGCAGAGCATGGGTCAATCAATTCCCGCCAAATTCAAATAGGTCAGTTAGGTCCTCTGTACGAACTGCATCATCACACACCGCAAGATTGACATCCCAACTACACACTTGACACACCGCAAGATTGACATCCCAACTACACACTTGACACACCGCAAGATTGACATCCCAATACACACTTGACACACCGCAAGATTGACATCCCAACTACACACTTGACACACCGCAAGATTGACATCCCAACTACACACTTGACACACCGCAAGATTGACATCCCAATACACACTTGACACACCGCAAGAATGACATCCCAACTACACACTTGACACACCGCAAGATTGACATCCCAACTACACACTTGACACACCGCAAGATTGACATCCCAATACACACTTGACACACCGCAAGATTGACATCCCAATACACACTTGACACACCGCAAGAATGACATCCCAACTACACACTTGACACACCGCAAGATTGACATCCCAATACACACTTGACACACCGCAAGATTGACATCCCAATACACACTTGACACACCGCAAGATCGACATCCCAACTACACACTTGACACACCGCAAGATTGACATCCCAATACACACTTGACACACCGCAAGATTGACATCCCAACTACACACTTGACACACCGCAAGATTGACATCCCAACTACACACTTGACACACCGCAAGATTGACATCCCAACTACACACTTGACACACCGCAAGATTGACATCCCAACTAGCCGTGTCGTCGCTGGGCAGAAATCTAGGACAAGCTGACGTCAGGGGGAAAGATCGCTCGACTAGCAGGGGAGATAAACAAATGATGGAATAACCTTTTAATGCCTATCTGCCTAATGGAGTCATTTCAATACAAGATTGGCGGTTACCTCCCCTGGCTTCTAAAGGTATTCATTACAATAATATTGCCAGGGTGCTCGCGCTTTCCCTGACTTGCCGAGGGCCATCCGAGGTGTTTAGATACTTAATAGCGAGCCTTGGCCATTAGAAGAGTTAATCTTTTGTTGGCCAGCTGGTTCCCAGAAAAAAAGCGCAACGGAAAAAAAGAGCAAAACAAAAAGCGCAACGGAAAAAAGCGCACACAGAAAAAAGCGCAAACAGAAATAAGCGCATACAGCGCTTTTTTCCTTTTGCGCTTTTTTCTGTTTGCGCTTTTTTTCTGTGTGCCTTTTTTCTGTTTGTGTATTTTTTCCGTTTGCGCTTTTTTCTGTTTGCGTTTTTTTCTGTGTGCGTTTTTTTCTGTTTGCGTTTTTTTTCCGTTTGCGCTTTTTTCTGTTTGCGCTTTTTTCTGGTCACCTGGCCAGCTATGATAATAAGACATGACCCAGATGTAAAGCTTAAGTTTGCTAGACGAGGTAGATGTTATCAAAAAATTTCCAACAATAACTGACATAGTATAAAAAAAAGTAAAATAAAAATATTGTAACCCTCTCTCTCTGCCATCTACCTATGACAATTATGCATAAAATCAGCTGTGACAATTAGGCCTACCTGTGACAGTTATCCGTCACCTCTACCTGTGACAGTTATCCGTCACCTCTACCTGTGACAGTTATCCGTCACCTGTGACCTTTAACCCACCGATCACAGGAAGACAAATTTGATGTGTTCAGGTCAGACTGAGCTAGACTGTTGGTGGCGCCATTTTCCTCTTTCTAAAACAAATCGTGTTTATTTTGTTCTAGCGTCCAGTTTGGGAGATTTACAACCAGGGGGTCATCCATACATGACGTCACGCTTTTTTTGACGCTCTTTACCCCCCCCCCTCCCCTCCGTCACACGTCGTCACAAAAAGCCAGACCCCCCCAATAGACGTCACACCTCAGCCTACAACCCCCCCCCCTCAAAATTGCAGCTGATTTTTTTTAAAACATCGATATTTTTCTTAAATCATGTCTGAACTCTGTCTTCATAGAGTATTTTAATCAATTCTTATTGCAATCTATTAAAACAGTTTTCTAAAACGCGAAATAACGTCTAAAATTAGTTTTCTAACATTGCTTTTTATAGTGCAAAAGTGTGACGTCGCGCCATCTGAACCCCCCCCCCCCTCATCACACACCGTCACAAAATTACGGACACCCCCTCCCCCCTACGAGTGTGACGTCATTTATGGACGACCCCCAGCGACCACCAACTTCCTCCACTTACCGCACCATCATAATACGTGAAAATATTTGATGTAGAGTATTACTTTATACTGGAAACTTTCTCCTAAAGTTCTATAACTTTGTTCTAAAATTTCAATCGTGATAACTTTCTTTTAATGTCAAAATTTGTTTAGTAATGAAGGTTATTTTAAAATTGGATACAGTCGATTGTTTACCCAACGAGGATATTTGTTTAACCTACTTTAAGTTTGGGGAAAACCATCACGACGGACATTTCTTGGTCTTTATTTAAACTTTGGGTAAACCCGATTCTAAAATTGTTCCTCGCTATATTTTGAAAACAACGAGGGCAGTAACTCACGTAAATAAATTTGTCTCCACATCCAAGGCAAACGATTCTATTTTTGGGCTCTTCTTTTTTTCTCGACCTGGAGAAGCAACCTGGAAAACTTCTGAGAACACAAATTAGGTTTGCTGCCCACTTCTAACTTCAGAAAGATTTTTATTGAAATGTTGGGTCGTCTGGCCGACTTGTGTGTGACGTCAACAGAGTAAGACGTCTGGCTGACTAGTTTGTGATGTCTGGGGTAGGGATGGGTCCAATAGACAACCCCCCCCCCCCCCCATAAGACTTACTCATGAATGCACCTGAAAGACCCCGGGTCGTTTTGTATATTTCATTTCGGCAACATGTGTGTGGGGTGTGTGGTGTGCGTTTGTGCGTTTGTGTGGGTGTGTGTGGAGGGTGGGTGTAGGGGTGGGTGGGTAGGGGTGTGTAGGGTTTATGTGGAGGGTGGGGGTGGGGGTAGGGGTGGATTGGTAGGTGTGTGGGGGGTGGTTGGGGTAGGGGTGTGTGGGGTGTCTGTGTGTGGTGCGTGATTGGATTTGTAGAAGAGACATGGTGTTTTGAGGTGAGGGGGAGGGAATTAATTACCAGAAGAGACAACGCTAGAGACAAATCTATTAGCATACAGAGGAACGACATTAGCAATTACTTTAGACTTGCAAATGATGGAAATGATTGTATTAATTATGCACGTCACAAACGTACAGGGGAGATCACGTGTTGATTTAGGCGGGGATTAGATACATTTAGAGGGGGGGAGGGGTGCGGGTGTAAACAAATAAAACACCGTGGCTACCATGACCCCACCCCAACCGTTACCACCATGACCCCACCCCAACCGTTACCACCATGACCCCACCCCAACCGTTGCCACCATGACCCCACCCCAACCGTTGCCACCATGACCCCACCCCAACCGTTGCCACCAACCACCATTGTTGCCCTTCTAACCAGCA